TGTGTGTGTGTGTGTGTGTGTGTGTGTGTGTGTGTGTGTGTGTGTGTGTAATATAGCTGAAAGTTTTTTCATGTCTTGTCCAGTCCGCAGCTTCTCAGACTCAAGTAAACACACAGAGGCTTATATTAATTAAAACTGCTCTGCCATTAGCTCAGGCTTACCACTGACTGGCTCTTACACTTAAACTCAGCCCATTTCTGTTGATCTATATGTCGCCACATGTTCTTTACCTGTCTTTACCTGTGTGCCATTGCAGGCTGCTCCCTGGACAGTGAGCTGGCATCTTCTGACTCAGCCTTTCTCTTCCCAGAATTCTCCTTTTCTGCATATCTTACCTATACTTCCAGCCTGGCTATTGGCCAATCAGCATTTTATTTATCAGCCAATCAGAGAAACACACATTTCAGCATACAGAAGGACCACCCCACAACAATATAATATAAAACAAATATATATATATATATATATAACAAATGTATCAATATTCTGGTTATGGATTAACTTACTCATGTCCGAATTAAAATTTTTTCCAGTTAGAGGATGTGCAATGTACAGCAGGCCGGTAGTTCCATGAAAGAAACCTTACTGGCTGCCACACATCTACCTTTGCTCGTTTGATACCTAAGAAAGGAGCCCCACAGATCCTGGTGAGTACAGCTTGTGCTTTATGCTGAAGAACTAAGCAGGTCACTCATTTGGCCACAGTGAAGGTGGTTATGGGTAAGAAAATTGTTATGACAATCATACATTCAGAAGAATGAAAGAGGAAGGATTATTCAAAGAAAAGTCACATTGTACAGTTGATATATTATAAGTAAAACCAAAGATTAAGTAATATTTAATAGAACCATAAATTGTGCATGCAGGGTAACTGTTTTACCAATGCCTATAGCTAGGATTATAGTTGTTATTTTATAGGATACTTTAAAATGAATTGCACACATGCTTAAATATATTTGTATTTATGTATAGGAAATGTAAATAGTTTCATTAAATATATATATGTGTATATATATGAAATGCTCCTGTGTTTGCTGCTTTGCATATTACTAATCACAAAAACAACTCCTCTTGACTTTCAAGATTGTCCTGGTTTTGTCTAACCTGCATGTCCATCCCTCAATAAATTATTGGTTTTCTCCTAAGCTTTAACTAAAGGTCAGCTGAACAAGAAGTTCCTGTAAGACACTACAGTTGTCAGGATACAGCTACATATCAGTTGTAATGACAAGATTCATGTATTAAATCACTTTCAATTTATAATCATTATATTTCCTCCTTTCGGATTCCTTGCTTTAATCAAACACATCTGTAGTGTATTCCATATCACAATGTGAAAATGTTGAAAACTAGTGGATCAATGGAATCCAATCTAGTCTTTGTTTTCATTACCAAGAGGATAAGCATCAGACAGCAGCATAGCAGCATTTTATTCAGAGATGAGTTTCTTATATGTCCTTGGCAGTGAGCACACACTGGGGAATCACATCTTCTTGTGCTTTTCATCAATCCACTTATTAAAGGCAATGCTGTTCCACTGTTCTCCACTGTACATGGTCACACATAGGCTGCTCATAGAGGCAAGAGATATGATTCACATAGCATGAGCAAAACACACATATAAAGGCCTAGTACTCTTCATTGAATTTTTGTTCCACTGTGTTAAGATAAATGAAAAAATCATAAATGAATACATCAATGAAGAATATGATGTTTTACTATAAAAGCATTCCCATGGGAAAAGCATTTGGACCACTTGCCACTGAAATGCACTGCTGGTAGCAATCATATATGAATCAGGTTTTATGACCACTTACTCAGTTCCTGGGAAGGCTTGCTTACTTGCTGAGAAACAAACAAACAAACAAAAAACCATCAAAGACTATTGCTTATACAGGAAGGAAAGATGGTAGAATTTCAAAGGGAAAAGGAAATACTATAAAACATATTTCTCATAAGAAAAGGTAGCTAGTCAAATAAGACATATTTAGTGTTATTCAATCAAACTGTAGACAAATGACTAAACTTTGAAATTTCCGTAACAACTGACATCTACATAAATATAATGAATAGATATTTTAGTCCAGTTTCTTGGAGCATATACCACATGGGCTAACTATTCTATATTTCACCAATTTAATACAGTTGTTTAATTATGAATATTTTGGGTATATTCCTTCTGAAAGAGACAATCGGTATGTTGGGATCTTGGAAAAGCCCTCTGCATTACATAGCAAGTGAATGGAAGAAGCCCCTAACGATATCATATCAAGAGCCAACAACATTGAAGCAAAAATCAAAGAATTTACAGAGGCTTTTAAGAGGATAGTGAACAATATATGTAGTCTTCTTATGTTCCTTTGCTTTTCTAATTCATCATAGATGTGACCACTGTAGTAAGAAACAAATCCATAAATACCTTATTTTAAATAGCAAAACGTAATCATCCAGTATAATACACAGCCTCTTTTCTAAAGCTTTCCTGGCAGTGCTATCCATCTATAGAATGCTTTACATATCAGGAGTCTCAATACAAAGTAGATGCTCTTCATAGTCCTTTAAGCAGCTACCTTTCCTTGGCAGGGGGAAAGACTCCTGCCATAACCAAATCTCCCATCACAACCACCCCTAGACTATCTGCACCTGAAAACATCATGTGCAGTCCTCACCAAGTCTGAGATTTCCATTCCATGTATTATGTTGACAATAGATTTAGTTGAAAAGTACTGAAGGGCAATGGTTCCCTTCACAATCAGGTAAGCATAGTCTGGGCCATTGCTGAAGGCATATTTAAATTTCCTCATGAAAGAACTGGCATTGTCCCATGGTAAAGTCCATGTCTATAAGCAAGTAACATCCCCCTATTTATCTGTCTGCCTTGTATGTGGGAATATCCTTATTCTGGTGTATACTCTATACAGGAAATGTATCCAAGAATCTCTCTTATACAATTTCATGGATAACACATCCACACTACTCTGGGACAGATACATTAAAATTCATGCCTTTGCCTGAGATTTTACAATTCTAACTTCATCCCAAGAGTTCACTCAACATTTAAAAATGAATATCAGCAAGCAAACAATAGTGAATAATAAATGAATGCCTTTTGGTGATTAGATTCATCCTGGATTCCCAGAAAGTTATGTGTACCCATACTGGAATGGACTGGCATCCTTTCAGTCACCTGATGAAGACACTCGCTTTTTTGCTTTGTATAACTTATTTCGGTGCCTGACAAAGGATTCACGTAAGGTTGACTTTAATCTTAGGCTCCTGATGTGCCAACTTGTCTATAAAATAGATTGTTAATCTTCCAGCCCTTCAATCTAATTTTGAGGTGTTTTGGGTTAATCTGTCTTGCTTTAACCAATTTTTAAATATTTAACTTTGAATGTATATTTGTCTGTGAGAGATCCTTCATTAAAAATAATAACGGAGCCTTTAGACATGTTAATATCTAAAAGCCAAGTTTGTTGACATTGCATTTTCCCTGAAATACAAATACATGACTAACAAAGAGATGTAGGTAATATATCACTAGCATAGACACATAGGTAACAAGTCTTTCTCTGTCCACCAGACAGCTCCCAAGTAATGACATGGAGACTTCTTATTAATTATAAAAGCTCAACCTATATCTTAGGCTTGTTTCTGAATAGTTCTTATAACTTAAGTTAATTTGTTCCTATTCATCTATGTTTTGCCTCACAGCTTTTTACCTTTCTTTCATCATATATGTCTAACTCGCTCCATGTCTCATTGTCATTTCCCTCACAGACCTAGATTCATCCGTAGTTCCTCTCCTTTGACCAGAAGTCCAGCCTTTCTCTCTTTCCTAGCTTTGACCATTCAGCTTTTCATTACACCAATCACAACAATATATCTTCATGCAGTGTACAAATATTCCACAACAGTAATCATACATAGAAGCATGATTGCAAAAAAGGCAACTTACAGTTTAATTAAAATCACAACAAGTCAGTATGGGTCGCCTTATTAAAGCAGGGTGAGAATGTGATTGATCAATTGCTCTATCCTACTCAGAATAAGGAAAACCCCATATTCTTTAAGAAAAGCACACACTCTATATAGGACAACTTTCATTGTAAAATGATAAACAGTACAAATACTATGAAATTGCACTATGCCCAAAAGCCATTAAACTTTTAAACAATGCAGAAACTGGGAGGTTATAAACCCACAGCTATCTCCTGTCCATGTTCCCTTAAATTTTCTGCTGAAATTCATCTTGGCCTGTAAAGAACAATAAACACTCAACTTCATATGGAAAAACAAAAACCCAGGATACCTAAATCAATACTGTACAATGAAGTAACCTGTGGAGGTATTACCAGCCCTGATCTCAAGCTCTACTATAGAACTATAGTAATAAAAACAGCTTGATATTGGCATCAAAACCAACATGTAAACCAATGAAATTGAATTGAAGACACTGACAATAATCCACACACCTATGAACACCTGATTTTTGACAAGGAAGCCAAAATTGTACAATGAACAAAAGAAGTCATCTTTAACAAATGGTGCTGGCATAACTGGATATCAACATGTAGAAGACTGCAAATAGATCCATATCTATCACTATGTACAAAACACAAGTCCAAGTGGATCACAGACCTCAACATAAATCCAGTTACTCTGAACCTGATGGAAGAGAAAGTAGGAAGTAATTTTGAATGCATTGGCACAGGAGACCACTTCCTAAATATAACACCAGTAGCACAGACACTGAGAACAACAACTAATAAATGGGACCTCCTGAATGTGGGAAGCTTCTGTAAGGCAAAGGACACGGTAAATAAGACAAAATGACAGCCTACAGAATGGGAAAAAATCTTCGCCAACCCAACATCCAAGAGGGCTGATCTCCAAAATATATAAGGAATTCAAGAAACTCTATACCAAAATACTGAACAACCCAATTAAAAAAATGGGCTACAGAGCTTAACAGAGAATTCTCAATAGAAGAATCTCAAATGGCCGAAAGACATTTAAAGAATTGTTCAACATCCTTAGTCATCAAGGAAATGCAAATCAAAACAACTCTGAGATACCATCTTACAACTAAGATGGCTAAGATCAAAAACACTGATAACAGCTAATATTGGAGAGGATGCAGAGCAAGTGGAACACTTGTCCACTGTTGGTGGGAGTGCAAACTTGTACAGTCACTTTGGAAATCAGTATGATGGTTTCTCAGAAAATTTGGAATCAATCTTCCTCAAGACCCAGCTATACCACTCTTGGGCATATACCCAAGGAATGTTCAATCATACCACAAGGTCACATGCTCAACTATGTTCATAGTAGCATTATTCATAATAGCCAGAACCTGTTAACAACCTAGATGCCCCTCAACTGAAGAATGGCTAAAGAAAACGTAGTACACATACACAATGTAGTACTACTCTGCAGTAAAAAAGCAATGATATCATGAAATTTGCAGCCAAATGGATAGAAGTAGTAAATATCATCCTGAGTGAGGTAACCCAGACTCAGAAGGACAAACATGGTATGTACTCACTCTTAAGTGTATACTAGATGTAAAGCAAAGGATAACCAGACTAAACTCAGAGCTCCAGAGAAGCTAGCTAACAAAGAGGACCCTAAGAGGAATGCATGGATCACCCTGGCAAGGGGAAATAGAGTAGAGCTCCATGAGTAAACTGGGGATGAGGAGAAGAAATGGAGTATGGGAGATGGAGGATAAAAATATGAGGGAACTGGATGGTTGATCTAGAGCAGGGACTGAGTTGAGGAACAGTGAGGGAGATACCTTGGTGGAGGATGGGAAGAGGCCGGTGCTGGGGAGGTTCCCAAGAATACACAAGGATGACCCTAGCTTAGACTACTATCTATAGTAGAGAGAGTGCCTGAACTGGCTTACCCCAGTAATCAGATCAGTGAATACCTTAATTTTATCATAGAGCCTTCGTTCAGTAACAGATGGAAGCAGATGCAGAGATCCACAGCCAAAGACCAGGCTAAGCTCCAGGATTCTATGAGCAAGAGGCATCAAGATCATGGTGGGGAAGCCCACAGAGACAACCAAACCAAATCAGTGGGAACTCATGAACTTTAGGCCAACAACAGCTGTGGAACCTCCACAGGACTGGACTAGGCCTTCTGCACAAATGAGACTATTGTATAGATTGATGTGCTTAAGGGGCCCACTGGCAGTAGGATCAGGATCCATCCCAGGTGTATGACCTGGCTTTTTGGAGCCCACTACCTATGGTGGGATGCCATTCACAGCTTTGATGTGGGGGTGGGGGGGCTTGGACTTGCCTCTTCTGAATATAGCAAAGCAGGCTTTGCAGACTCCCATGATAGACCTTGCCTTGTTGGAAGAGAGAATGGGAGGTAGGATTTGTGGGCAGCAGTAGGCCCAGGAGGAAGTAGGAGAGGGAGTTCTGTGATTGGTATATAAAATGAATAAAAAAGTTCCTTAATGAAAAAAAAAGGAGAAACAAAAAAGAAGAAGAAAAAATTCATCTTGGGCATCACCCATGTGTTCTCTCACTCTTTTCTAACAGGACTTATTTGGTCTAGTTTCATATTAATCTCATTCAAATTACATAATGCATCCCTCTTGTATTCTTATGGCTCAAGTCACATGTCAAAGAAGAGAGCGATGATCAGTCCCTAAAACATTTCTTTTCACCTTTCTGCCACTGAACGTACATTCATTTAATGTTCTTAAAATAATATAGTAGATTAGTAGAAATGGGAAATAAAGTCCCATTACTGATTTTCTTAGTGAACTTGAACACATATTATTGACAAGATCTCAACCTGAATTGGAACTATTTAAGCAGTAAAATGAATAGCACTCAATCACTACTGAACCCTTCCTGGAATCTCAACCTCTTCCATTCCCTTCCTGTTCACAGAGATTCATAATGGATCAGAAAGTAGAATATGATATGTGCAACAACACACTATAATTAAGACTGAAAGAATGAACATGAATCAGACTATGCCTATGCCAGCTACAAGTAGACATTAAACCCTGATCCCTTTAAAGTTTTCTCCATTTTCCTAAGCATTCCTCATTGTTCTTGTTTAGAACTGGAATATTGCCAGATGATTATATTTTGAAAGTTTTTGACACTGTGATTAGTTGGTAAAAACTCTATAACTCTACAAGGAAGACATGGTGGCTGGCATCCATGTTACTAGGGTGTGCCTGGAATTCTTGAGACACTAGAATGCTAATTCACCCTCTCTCCACCACACACACTCTCCCTCATGGTCACAACTATACTGGTCCTATACTGTCATAGGACCAATGCAACACCTTAAAGGTATCATGACCTAAAACCACTTTAAACTGTTAATCAATTCTATAATTTCACCTCTTAATGTGATCTCCTTGTGTATTGTGTCACAGCACTGGGAAGCTGACTAATAATGCTTTGTTTGTTTTTCCCTCAAATCTACCTGTTATTTTCTATCCATGTCTTAATCGCAAGAGATGGTCAACTAACCACTAATGAAAATAATTATGTTCTAAAGCTACTTTAAAAATATCCCTCCTTTGATTGATGGCCAAGGAACCATTCTAATATCTTGTAAAAGGTGTATTATCAGCATAATGCTTCTACCCTAGCACCTTACCCATCCAGCAGGCAGTCAGATATATTCCTTCTATATGAAAATCCTTTACCACAATAATGACCAATATGCATGAAAGATAAGACAAAAAATCCAACCATAAAAAACATGGAAATCACTTCACCACAGACTGCTGTGATAACTTATTTTACTATATACCACTGTGTGCCTACACACCATAAAGAAAGATGAGTAAGTCAAACTGGAGGTACTTCAGCCAAGACAGCCATGTCAGTATTCCATTGAGAAGCTTATCTACTCCAGTGTTTAAAATGGTTTTCTAAAATTACTACTAAGAACCACTCACTTCACTTAATGACATAAAGAAAAATAAAAATCATAAAGATCAAATTAAATGAAGCAAAACTTCTAGGACTCTTCATAAATCTCAATTCTGGTTAACACAACTGGTTTAACAGTTATTTTCAAATACAGTTCATGGTCATGCTGAGAATAAAAAATATCTTAACCCAGTCAGATTAATATATTAATATATTTTCAAAGGTCAATAGTAACTACTGATTGCCCAAATTTATATGTCACTCCAGAAAGCTGTTACTGGCCACTTAGCTTATATATATTTCCTTGGCTACTTACTCATTCACTTTGGCAAGTGTTGGGTTCACACTCATGAGCAAACATGTTAAGCACATGCAACTGAACTAAATGTA